TATCTGTTCAGCTACACTTCTGATTCTCAATGATGGTTGTTTTGTCGTTTAATTGTAATTTTGATGTTGTCATGAGAGGAGGCCAGCACAGCATTTACCCACTTTGCTATTTTGACTGGAAATCCCCAGTATTTGTCCTTTATTGATTGACTTGTATCACATAACATACGGTCCTCAGAGTGCATCCATTATGTCACACATGACAGGATTTTCTTTTTAAGTCTGAATAACATTCCATTATATGTATATATCACATATATTTGGTGATATATATTTAAGTTGTTTACCTCTTGGCTATTGTAAATAGTGCTACAATGTATAAAGGAGTGCAAATACCTTTTCAAAACCCTATTTTCATTTCTTTTGTATGTATTTCAAGATTGGGATTGTTGGATCCTATGGTAGTTCTATTTTTAATTTTTGAAGAAACTTCCATCATGTTGCTACAACATTGTACATTCTGATCAACAGTACATGTGTTTCAATTTTCCACATTTTCATCCACACTTAATTTATATATATATATATATAGTTTTAATAATGGCCATGAAAACAGGTATGAGGTGATATTTCATTTTGGTTTTGATTGGCATTTCCCTGATGATTAGTGGTGTTAAGCATCTTTTCGTGTATCTGTTGGCCATTTATGTCTTCTGTGGAGAAATGTCTGTTGAAGTCCCTTGCTTGCTTGTTTGCTTGCTTATTTATTTATTTACTTATTTATTTATTTTCTATTGAGTTGTAGGAGTTCTTCATATATTTTGGATATAAACTCCATATCAGACAGATGTTTTGCAAATATTTTCTCCCATCCCAAAGGTTGACATTTCACTGTATTGCTTATTTCCTTGTGTACATAAGCCTTTTAGTTTGTTGTAATTCCACTTGCCTATGTTTTTGCTTTTGTTGCCTGTGCTTTTGGCATCATATCCAAGAAATTATTGTGAAGACCAATATTATGGAGCTTTTATAGTTTCAGGCCTTATATTTCAGTCTTCCATCAATTTTTGAGTTGATTTTTGTGTATAATGTAAGATAAGGATCCAATGTCATTCTTTTGCATGTGGATATCCAGTTTTCTCATCACCATTTATTAAAGAGACTGTTCTTTCCACATTGTGTAGCTTAGCGGCCTTGTTGCAGATCATTTGACTATATAAGTGTGTGTTTAATTCTGGATTTTATAGTCTATGTGTATTCCATTGATCTGTATATCTGTCTTTACGTCAATACCATATACTTTTTTGAATATTGAGGATTTGTAATATGTTTCAAAAGTCAGGAAGTGTAAGGCCTCTAGTTGTTTTTGATCTTTGTGGTTCCATATAAATTTAAGGATTGCTTTTTCTGTTCTATAGAACATGCCATTGGGATTTTGATAAGCATTGCATTGAAGTTATAGATTGCTTTGGGTGATATAGACATTTAAATAATATTAAGCCTTCTAATCCATAAACATAGGATGTCTTTCCATTTATTTATCTTTCTAAATTTTTCCAGCAATTTTTTGTAGTTTTCAGTGTATGTCTTTAACCTTCTTGGTTAAATTTACTCCTTTGCATTTTATTCTTTTGATGCTATTATAAATGGGAATACTTTCTCATTTCCTTTTCAGATTGTTCACTGTGTATAGAAATGGAACTCAATTTTGTATATTGATTTTATGTCCTGTAACTTTATTCATTTGTTTATTCATGTATACCTCTTTTTTAAATTATAAGGAAGAGACTGAATAAAATCATCAGAAGGGAAAACATTTTTGTTACTTGGGATCTTACTTGAGAAAAACATAAGATGTGGGAATTTGTGTACAATTTGTATATTGAACAATATAATGGGCAGTGTCTTCAGTAGCAATTTTATCAAAGCTACAGAGAGTTTCTTCATAGAGCCCATTATTATATCAGCCTTCAATAAAATCTGAGGACATAATGCTAAATCATAATGATGTAATGAGATTTCTATGATTGACTGATTTTCAATTATGGCATGAATCTGAGGAAAACGTGACTGTGTGACTTTCACGTGTCAGGACTAATTAGGCTTATTTCTGAGGTACACACTTCAGAGAAAAGAAAACCGGAAAAAAAGTTCCTCTGTATATTAAACTGTAAAATTACAGTCAAATATTAAAATTAAGTGTCTTCCTTATTTTCTATAACATAATGCTCAATATAATTACTTCTATATTAGCCAAAATTGAGAAATGATTGATTGATTTATATGGATTTATGAGGAGCTTTTTTGTTTTTAAATGCAGATATCCATCTCAGTTAAAGGAGTAGCTTATAATCTTAAAAATCTTAATTTTAACAACAAGGAAGCAAAAATCTTTAAACCACTTATTTTGTAAACTTTTGCAATTCAAATTGTGAAACGCTCTATTTCTACTTTGTATTATTTTAGAAGGAGGCATGACTAGGAATCTTTATATAAAGCACATTAGACGAAACTTTTTTAATCTTTGTTTTTTTTTATTAGTTTCAAGTGTACAAAACAATGCAATAGTTAGTAGATATTTACACCTCTCACAAAGTGATAACTCCCCTCTCCCAGTCTACTACCCGTCTGACATCGTGTATAGCTGTTACAATTCCTTTGACTCTATTCCCTATGCTGTACTCCACATCCCGTGTAGACAAAACTTCTTAAATGAGATGTAAATAGAAAAGTAAACAGGAAAGTAACTATCTCTGCAATAAGGAAACAAAATGAAATGTGTGTTAAACTGTTAATAAGAATACAATAGTGTCCTACAACTACACTCAGGAGAGAGATGGGGACTGTTTTTATTTTTTAAGTAAATGAAGAGGAGAATAGAATGTAGGATAATCAAATGGCTGGGACACAGCTCTTTAAAAATAGGTTTTCAATTTGCACAACTGAAACAATAGCATTATTTTCTCTAAAGGCTCATGAGGAAACACAAGTAATGAAG